TTTTTTTAATAAAATGCGAATTTTAAAAATCATGAATAAAAACTTTAGTAATAATTAAACACGTGATTTTAATAGTGCATCGGTTTACAACTGATGTGTCTCAGATTACAACTCACACACATCAGATGACCAATTGGCAGGTGACGTGCGTCATCTGGAAATCGGCATCTGACGTGCGTCAGATTAGATCTGACGCAAGAATCGATCTGAGGCACAACATATTTCTTGGTAATAACTTCATCTTTATTACTGCATATTAATTTGGTATAAAACTCTAACTGGTAATTATCAGATTTTCTTTAAAGCACTATTGTTAAATGTGCCCAAATTCAGTGAACAAATCGCCAAATCTGAAATTAGTATCTAATTTTTTTAGTCATAGAGGATATACTATAAAATAAGCTAAGTATAATAAAAGTTTGTTGTAAGAAACTTATCTGTACTTGCTTTGCTGATATCATCATGTTCTTTGTTAATCTCCAAAACTTTGCTCTTAATATTTTAAAAGAAATAAAACATGATGTGGTACAAAATATCAAAGTTACAGAATTGCCACTATATAAAATATGTAATAAAAAAATTTTAACAGTTAATTTTGAATTATTTACAATACTTCTATGTAGTCATGCATATTATAGAAAAAGTATTGAAAAAAATTTTTTACTTATGGAAAAAAACAAATGCCTTTTCCTAATTGCGACAAAATTGTTGAACCAGTAATATCTGAATGAAGGTTTTCTGAATCATCTTAGTCTAGTGGAACTTCAGCTATTGCAGATATGTTAGGCAATAATCTTGAGTTAAATTCACCAATAAATATATCACCATTATTTAATAAGACTACCTAGAAAAAACATACTAAGGAATCACCCGCATCTATTGAAAAAATGTCTAGCAAGAAAGTGAAAAAAACTGGTGATAAGAAGGTATCATCTATGTTAAAAAAACTTATCAAAGAATTATTAGCTGATACACCTGTTCTCACTATTGGAGAGAATTTGAAAAAAGCAAATGAAAGTGTAACCAGTATTTTTTTGCAACTCTTCGATAAGATTGATAATGCTGAAACTAAAAATGAAGATGCATCTTGAGGTCTTATTTTCAGCTATTTTGTTTTTGGGAAAGCTGTATTTAAACGATATAAAGAATTAAAACCCAAACATGGTAAGGATGAATCTCAAGTATTAGTTAAGAGTAAGGTTAGAGAAGCGATTCCTGAGGCAAAATATTCTGATGAAGCTTTGCAGAAAAGGATGAAGAGATCTGAAAAGGTTTATAAGCTTTTTAATAGTATAGGCAAAAAAAAAATATCATAAATAAAATCTATCTCTCCAAGTTTTATCTTAAATCTAACTAGGGATGAAAAGGATTATGTAATGGCCAAAATCTTAAAACAAAAGGTTTGTTAATATTCTGCACCATTTCTTTTGTGCAATTAAGTCGAGCCTGGATACCATGTCCAGACTCTACTATCAGAAAAAACAGAATTTTGTTTACATGTATTCTCAAACATATAATAAAACATTTGTATATCTCACCCATATTAGGCTTGATTTTTTAAATGTGTATAACTGATTGCCAAACATCATGAAAAATAATTTGCCAAGCCGGGACACCATGTCCAGGCTCTACCATCAGATAGTCATATGTACAATGACTTACAAAGTGCCTTAATAGCCAGCTATTTCGGGAGATAAATTTAACCTGAGCTTGTATGCATGTCCAACAGAAAAATATAGGTTTCAGGTGATAAATTTAACTGGATGCTGATCCAGCTTCTGTACAATTTTGACAAGCTCAGACAACGTGTCCAGACTCTGCCATCAGAAAAAAAATAGTATTATTTTACATGTGCATTTTTAAACATATATTATAAAGCATTTTCCATATTAGGTTTTATTTTAAAGTATCACTACCAAATGTACTTTATGGAAAATAATTTGCTACTTCCAATAAGATTTCGAATAAAAAAACTGTGACTAATTTTCTGACTATTGCAGTATGTAATTAATTTATTTTTCTGCGCAATTTTGACGAGCCCAGACACCATGTCCAGACTCTACTATCAGATATTTGGCCATCTCGGGAGATAAATTTATGGGAAAATAGGAGGTTGTGATGAATGCAAAAAAGTAGTGGATGGAATATATATAAGCAATGTGAATGTGAAAATTTTTTAAAGAAAGAAGCGATAAGTGAAAGCTTCACTATTTCATAATAGTTTCAAGTTCCTAACTCATCTATTATATAGAAAAATACAATATCAGGTATTGTCATTTTATCATATAACAATACGTGACCTGTTTTACAACAATCTGATTGTTTGTATAAACTATAAAATGGTAGAATGTACCCACTAAAAAATTTTTCAAACCATGTCTGACAATAATCCACTTCCTTTGCTTGAAGAAATTAATAAATGGGGCCCGAGTGCTGTTATTAGTTTTCTGGAGTCTAGAAAAGAGCTTTTTCTTGATAATGATGATATTAAGGCAATTAGAACAAGTAAAATAACTAGTTCAGATTTCCTCAACTATAGCACTGAAGATTTTCGAGAATGTGGGTTGCAAGTAGGGCTGGCAAAAAGAATCACAAAATTATCTGAGGAATTGAGTAAGTATTCATGCGGAGATGCTATAGAATAGTTTAAAAATTGTTACTATACGCATGTGATTTTCAGGACCAAAGATTTGCAACGTCACTTTCAAATATCAAGTAAAAGAAAACAAAACAGTAGAGTGCAACAGAAGAGACCATATAGTGTCGATAATATATTATTTGTTGACAGAACTAACTTTGAAACTATTGCAAGAGCATGCACAAAAGGAGTTTAAGTTTCTGGCGACGACACATGACGAAATTGTGATCAAATACAATAAATCCATTTTAAGCAATGATATTACCGTAAGGTCTATATTCAAGACGAAAGAAAATATCAAATTAATCGTTACATTAGATAAGAAGTACTTTTCTAGTTATAAAAATTTGCGAGAAGTTCTCCAAAAACATGGAATCGACAATGATGAAGTGCATAGTATACCAGTGTTTTTTCCTAATTGTGAAAATGAAAAAAATTATACAGAGGTATTTGAGGATTGTGTAAAGGAAATAAAGGTTCGAGTTACAATATTTTCTTTACATCATTGTGTGTATATTGAATGTATTGATTTATTGCTTATTATTATAGGCTAGATTGTCAGCGATTGGCAATGTGGGTAATCAGAACGAAGCACAGCGAAGCCACTTTATTACGTCGATATTAGTTTCGGCGGTAAATTCAGTTCCAAACACCATCTTTTGTTCACAGTTTAAGATTATTGGAGATGTATCTGTTGGCAGGGTAGATTATACAATAAAGAAAATTTATCCGCAATTAGTAGGTAGTGGGTTTGAAGAAATTGTCTGCATCACTAAAGCAAAGCAAATTGATATAAAAGTATGCATTGCTCAAAGCTTAATGCAACTTGAAGGTTCATTAGATTCAAACAAAAACAAAAAGTGTAAGCTTGATTAGTTGTACCCAGATCAGATATATTCAGAATATGTCTATAGAATCGTATCAACTAGCACTGATTGGTATTTTTTGAAGCATACTCCTGATCAAATTTTTTGTAATCAAGTATCTGATTATATACCTTTGGTAACAATACAGTTAAATAATGATGAGGATTTGAGGAAGGGAATTAAAATGGTCCTTGGCAAAATTATAAGGATCGAGATCAAACAAACAAGCGACAACGCATATAAGAATATATAGTAAAAAAGTTACAGTTGATTTGTATTGTACATTCTGATATTTTGCAATAGGACAAGTGTAAAATGACTTAAGGTTATACAATAGGCTAATTTAAGATTGTAAATATTATCATATCATCTACAAATTTGTATTAAATTTCGTTATTTTTAAATAAATTGATAGTAAAAAGCTATAATAACATAATATTATCATGAGTAATTTTTGGTCTATTTAAAATTAGATTTGAGGGCTTTGCCTATTCATAATTAATGACTATCTTTTACAATATTTATTACCTAGATGCTAAATGTTCTCACTTCATTAGTGCAAAATCAGAAGTATATTTATCTAAGCTGGCCCTGGTAGCTCAATTTCACATAAATAATCAGTTTACTTTACATGTATATTTCACGAATTTATTTTATTTTATTGATAACAAATAATGATATATATTAAACTGTATATAAGTATTTTTCTTGGCATTTTATACTTGTTGGATTAAATCTAATGATTTTATCATGTAACTGACTCAGTTAGTAAAAATATTAATGAATTTAGATATTAGTCCACAGACAATAGTATAGATATCATGTATTATGGGTTAGGTCTCATGTATTAATAAAAATTTTTTCTTTGCTGATGGGTCATGAAGAAAAAAAAGTGATATTTTTTATTTTAAATGCTTATACACAGTGTATTAGTTATATATGGATCATGTCATCCGAGCTTGAATTATTAAAACAGCATATTACTGAACTTGAGATGGGGAATGCAGAGCTTAGGAAAGAGAATATTGAGATCTCTGATTTTAGAAGAAAGATCTCAGTGTTTTATAGTGAGAGAGCTGAACTTATATGTATAATTGCTAAGACTCTAAAAATGACTAAGGAAGAAAGACGAGGCGTGCTGTCAATTTCACATAAATAATTAGTTTAGTAGATCATAGTTTAACATTAATAAAATCCAAATAACAGCATAACACTTTGGGATTTCCGATATACTAATTAATCAAATCTATGTCATGTATAATAGTAAAAATCATTAGTACAGATTTTTACATGCTATTTAGCCAATAGAATTGTACACAGAATATCACCTGTTACTTATCAAATAGAATTTCAAGATCTATGTGTAACAAAACTTTCAGACTATCGCCGTTAGAATAAAAAAAAAAACTTTGTATGAGTGTACAATGCTTTAACACTACCCAATACTTTAGTAAACTATTCAGGATTTTTGAATTTTATTTGAGTTCACTTACTTAATATTTTTTTTTTTTTTTTTTTTTTTTTTTTTTTTATTCTTTGACAGTCTTGTCGGTGCTACATTACTAAGTTAATACATTAAACATTTGTTCTATGTATATTTAACCCTCCAATTGCAAGCCCGGCATCATCTGGCTATCATAGACGCCCAGATGCGACCTGTCGCACTAGTTATAAAATAACTAGAAGACTTGTCAGCTCTGTCAAGAACTAGACCAATATGGCTTCGTGCCATTTAAAATAAAATTTGTTACAGCATTTTCCCACAAGGTAACTGATTCTAACTCTTTTTCTTTTTTTTTTAAAATACTTTTGTTGTTTTTTCCTTTATTTTTCCGGGTTCTTCTTGCAGACTTAGTTACTAAAGCTTCATCATCTTGGATTTTTTTGTTAGACTGAGAGGCTTGTGAGCTTCTGCCTGGCCTTCTTACATTATTTCTTTTCATTTCTGAAAAGATTCCTTCTTCTTTTTCTCATTCGATTAGCTTCTTACAATGGGCTTGCCAAATAAACTCTCGAAAACTATTTTCTATGATATTCTTAAATGTTTTTATAAATTTATTTACCACTTTCCGATCTATGAGCTCTTCAAAAATCTTTGACTCCAAGACTAAAGGAAAGAGACCTC